GGCATCAACATCAGACGTCTTATCTCTGATATCAAAACAGTTGAATATCTATGTGGGTAGTCTGTTTTATATATTAGGCTTATTCGGCACCGTGTTCAATATAATTATTTTATGTAAAAGATCTTATCGAACAAATCCTTGCAGTTTGTATCTACTATCATCATCTATTGTCGGTTTATTTTCATTACAAAATGTTCTATTGATATCAATATTTCAACAATTTAACATGGATTTTACTTCAATATCGACATTTACTTGTAAACTAAGAGGCTATTTCGGTTACATAATGATCATATTACCAATTAATTTTGTTATATTAGCATCAATAGACCGTTGTTGTTCAACAGCCCGATCAGTTAAAATTCGAAAATATAATAGTAAAACAGTGGCTCATTCTTTAATTGTGTTAACAACAGTTTTCTGGTTTCTATCAACAATACCGTCAGCTATTTGTTTTGAAATTGACTTGACAACGGGTAATTGTGGTACGCAACTAGGTTTATGTACAACATATGAGCTAATACAGTTTCTGATATTTAATGGAATTGTACCACCAGGAATTTTAATTGTAACTGGATTGATAACAAAACATCATATTAAAATAATTCAACGAAGAATTATACCAACAACAAGTCATCGTACACAAATCCAACAAATAGATCAACAACTAACACGAATGCTTTTATTACAATTGATTGTATCTATTTTAGCTGGCGTCCCATTTGGTCTGACATTTGCCTATAATTTAGCTACAGAAAATCTAGACAAAAGTCAAGAACGCGTAGCATGGGAAGGATTAATTCGATCATTATTCATATTATTATTTCAAATGAATTATGTTTCTAGCTTTTATATTTATTTATATTCATCAAAATTATTTCGAAAACAATTTCGAAACCATTTTAAACGACAAAGAGGCGATGGTGGACAACAACAGAATACTTTACAAATACTAACTGTTAAAAACTAAATATAAAAGACGACTCCCGCTTGGGCTTATTATTAAATTCTAAACGTTGGGTTCGTCCTGTTCGTTTCAAATAGAAAACGTAGATTCTAGATAGTAATATGTTCGAATACTTTAAATATCTATGATCCTCATGATTCGTGATTCCCATAGGGAATATGTTACGCATCCTTAATGATTAACCAAGTGCATTTCTATTTTAATCTACACTTTCTATTTTAAACGAACAGGTAGAATCCAACGTTTAGAATTTTTGTTTAATTGGTTCATCTGGCACATGTTTCCTGTATCTTGCAGAGCAAATTATATATTTTTCACATATATTCTATAGACAATTACCTTTATTTTACGGTTTGATTTGTCATTCGATTATACAATCACTAGAACTTTCACTAAATAACCCGAATTTACTTCTTGTATTC